TACCAGCATAATGTTCTTAAAAAAATGTCATTTAGGCTGTAGTAGATGATTTGTATGATATTGGGTAATTATATTAAGCAAAGCCAGGGATTTCCACAGCATAATATTTATATTCTAATTTTTTTAACTTGAAAAATTGAAATTGCTGAGTGACTGTAGGAACTGAGTTTTGTGGTTGTAGCCTCTTTCATATTTGAATAGCAGAATGAATATCTATAGAATGGATGGGGCCATTAGATGAAAATGTAAATTGTTTTCTATGTCTTGATGTTTGATTATGTATTGTCCTTAGAAAAGCCTTTCTTTTTATAACCCCGTGTTATCACCTCCTACCATCAACATGCATTTGGAGAAATCTGCCTTTTCTCAGTCTCAGATCAGAAGAATTCCAGTCATCAAATTACTTTGATGAATTTAAGCTACTTTTGCTTAGAAGTGGGCTCAGATGCTTCCCTGCTGAGAGTCAAACACATTTTCAACCCCCTTATAATGGCATTTTCACTGACTGGGTTTCAGGAGCTTGGCACTGAGGCACTAAGGAAGGTTGACCTACAAACTGTAAGTCATTAAAACCTCTGCCCCTCCTGGCTACTATCTTCATTACTTTTGGGACTGGTTAATAGCATTTAACGCTTCCTGATGGGACAACCCTTTTCATAAAGTTCTTTTTATGAAGTCCATTCTTCAGTTGTGTTCTAATGCTGCCACTTCTGCTGGTTATTTTGGGGTGAGGATATTAAAAAGTTGGTAGCAAAATAAATTCTGTGGTTATTACATATTCCTACTGCCCATTTAATTTCTCAGCTGGGCTAAAGGAGCATTATGGGGTTTTTTTCTGAACTCAAATCTGGGACAACAAAACCTGTTGATGATTTTACCTCCAATCTCAATGTCTAATATTACAACCCGACAACAGAAAATGTGATTTCAGATATTCTGCTTTTCAGATGGACCCAGATCAGTTTTTGGGATGAATATCATTCTGTTATGAATAAACTCAACTGTTAGACCTCACCTGATTGTAAGGCCTTGCAATGCCACTCTTGGTCCCATGTTTAGTTTCCATCATGTCTGATCCTCTTCCTGACAGAGCTACACCTCACTGCTCTGCCTGCCACTAATTGCTTCTGTAGTTTTTTAGTGCTTTGCTTTAGACATTTCATGCTCTGGGACTTTATTAAGAGAGCAATGTAAGGCAAGCATAGCGAAACAATTGCACGACTTCAGGCTTCTCATTCAAACTCATCTTTTCTAGTGCAGATCCTTTGAAAATGATAAAAAAAAAAAGATCACTCTCTTGTCTTAGCATCTCCCATGACTCCTGAGCCTCCCTTACAGGTTTTGGATTTGGTAAACTCTTATGGACTAAGTGACTCTTCCTGCTATCTCTGTTTTCTTCTTTTTTCTGTTTTTTTTTTTTTTTTTTAAAGAAAGCCTTCTTTCTCATAAAAAATATAATAATAATAAAAACCAGGGGGTTTTGAACCATTTGTTGGTGAGGCATTCTGCTTTTCCAGTGGCATTTATTTGTGGAAAGCATTCACTGTCAAAGATTTGAGGTCAATGACCCTCCTTGTAATTCTTTCCAAAGTATGACTTTCATGAAGAATAAAGAAAATTTTGTATAAATGCTCAATTGTTGCAAAATATGTATCTTAATATGTCTGTGTGAAAGCTGGGTTGAATGGCACAATTCAAAGGAAAAATTTGTGAGCACAAACCACGCTGGGGGTTCATTCTGTCACAGAGTCATTTCCTCGGTGTCTCCCAACAATTCCAGCTGGTTTTAATTATTGCTTAGGACCCTAAAAGAACAACTATTGTAAATATTGCCAAACATAAGTGTTCATTACAAAGAATTAATTACTGCAACAGAACTCTGGGCAGGACTTGTAGCCCAAGTCTTGCAAGCCCACAATGGTGTTACATATCCTACAGTGCTGGAGCCAGGTTTTTGAGTTAGCTGGATTTTCTCTATCACTTCTGTTCTTCTTGTGAAATTGTGTTTTCTATCAATATTTAGAAAACTACAGATGTAAGGGAAGGTTGTCTGATTTTTTTTTCCTAATTGCCATTTAGGTCGGTGAAATGTCTCTTGATTTTGACAGTTTAGGAGTGTCCCTGAAGGCTGCACTTTATCATTTATCATGTCCACCATTTCAGATATCAATTTTTCCTGGACATTCTCTCAAATCCATTTCCACCTATTTACTTAAGCAAACTCTTCTGAGCATTGCTGTGTTGGGTTTTTTCCTTTTTATTTAGTTAGTTGCATTTTTTATTTTAAGACTCAAATTAACAATCAATTTATTGGAGAAACCTACTTCTAGCAATGCCTATTAGTTGGCAAGCAGTGATTTTTCTCAGGCAGGCAGACTGCAGCTGAACATGGCTCTTACACAAAGATAACTGCCCTGCATTAGATCAGTTCTCCATCCAGTCCAACACCTGTAACTGGAAAGGAGCAAAAGCTTGATGAAGAAAAAAAGAAAACTTGTTAGACTGGAAGGAGTGTAGTAGGTAGTGTAGTCTGTAGTTTTTTGAACATTATCTAAAACTGTATTTTGCATTTTTCTCTGCATATTGTGTTAGTTTTTTATTGTATTAGCATTTTCCTCTGTATATTTATTAGTTTTTATACAAGGCTGTATAGTTGGAAAGGAAAAGGACAGAAGTTAGCAGGAGGTCATAACTCTGTCACTACTTTATTTACACTGGTCAATACTCAACCTTGTTGAATATGCAAAAATACTTACAGCATCCAAATTTCACAGATGTTGTGAAATTCCTTAAAAGATGTGTTTTCTAGTACAATTCCTTTAAGCCTTCTTAAATGCAGTTGCTTGCAAAGTTATCAAGTTCTTCACCTTCACAGAATATCAAGTTCTTCACCTTCATCTTTAGGATTTATAAATTCCTGTTATATTCCTTATAACATATGCTATTTGCACTTTCTAAGACATATCTAATTTATTTGCATTGCCATAAGGTTGGTTTATGTTGTATCACCGGCATGTAAATCTTTGCAGAATTACTGTGTAACCTTTTTGTCAGAGAGAAGGACCTAGCAAAGGCCCAAAGCCACAGCAGTAAGGCAATAATAGAGAAATCACCATAATTACAGTATTTACCTTCACATGTTCAGCCAGCAAGGCCTAAAAGTTGTGAATTTTTTAATTTTCTTTTTTTCAAATTCAAGGTTTCTTTTAAAATTTGATGCTAAATGAGGATTGAAATCAATTCATATTTAAGATTTGAAAATTTTTATACAGCAGTATTTCCGTTTGCTTGCTTTTTATTAGGGCTTTGCTAAGCCATATTTGTTTAATTTCTTTATTTACATACTGAATAAAAAAAAATACAGTGAAGTACATTTGATGTAACCTGATGCCAACAGAGCTGTTCTAACATTGACATGCAATATATGTACAGAGGAGAAATGAAGTAATGAAGCACTGCTTAAAAATTGCCAGAGAAAGCAAAGTGTGAAGTTTTGTTTTTTGTTTTGGAGTTTTAGTATTATTTTTTCAATTAGAAAGTTATCAAGAGGGAAGTTTTACAAAAGCAGAGCCTCTAATGTGGTATTACTGTTCAATTTCTGATTAAAATATTTTAAGTCTCACATGGAATGGTAATTAATGTTCACAGATTTAATGAAAATATAAAAATGTCTGAGTTAATTTCTTTGCTATAAGGTTAAATTATTTCTATTTGGTCTGAATATTATGTGGATTCAGAGATGTTCCTAAGATATACAACTCTTTCCTTTGAAGGACTGAAAGGTACTGTTATGTACATGGTGCAGACCCAAAAAAATGAGAAAAGATATGAAAAACTCTTTGATTTATTACACAGTTAAGAGCTGGTTAATAATCCAGCTCTTGAACAAAAGCAACGTTCTGTTCACTTGGCAAAATCACTGGATAATTTAGATGACTTGAGGTCACCTGGGTCTCTAATGTCTCACCCCTACTCAAAACAGGGCTGACTGCAGGAGACAGATCCAATAATGTGATGCAAATATCTCTGACATTATAAATTTGAGCCTGAACTTGGACCTTGGGAGTCTCCTGGTAGTAGTGTTGGCTGAACCAGTCAACACTCTTTTCATCAGTGTCCTCTGAGAAACACAGAGCCATAAATGGCACCGCCATCCAAATTCCCAGTTTGCTGAACCAGTCAACATTCTTTTCATTAGTATCCTCTGAGAAACTCAGAGCCATAAATGGCACTGCCATCCAAATTCCCAGTTTGCTGAACCAGTCAACACTCTTTTCATCAGTGTCCTCTGAGAAACTCAGAGCCATAAATGGCACTGCCATCCAAATTCCCAGTTTGCTGCCTCCTGAACCAGTCAACACTCTTTTCATTAGTGTCCTCTGAGAAACACAGAGCCATCAATGGAACCGCCATCCAAATTCCCAGTTTGCTGAACCAGTCAACACTCTTTTCATCAGTGTCCTCTGAGAAACTCAGAGCCATCAATGGCACTGCCATCCAAATTCCCAGTTTGCTGCCTCCTGAACCAGTCAACACTCTTTTCATTAGTGTCCTCTGAGAAACACAGAGCCATCAATGGAACCGCCATCCAAATTCCCAGTTTGCTGAACCAGTCAACACTCTTTTCATCAGTGTCCTCTGAGAAACTCAGAGCCATCAATGGCACCGCCATCCAAATTCCCAGTTTGCTGCCTGCTCTTTGCAGGCAGAGATTTGTGTGAAAGGACGAGCTAAAACACTTTGGTGACTCCCTCATCCAGCTATGGGCAAGCTTTTACACCATCACAACTCCAAACTGGTCCAGAATGTGGCACTGCCATCCAAATTCCCAGTTTGCTGCCGCTCTTTGCAGGCAGAGACTGTGTGAAAAGACGAGCTAAAACTCCTTGGCGACTCCCTCGTCCAGCTACAGGCAAGCTTTTACACCGCTCCAGAATTGCTCCAGAATATGGGCTCTGCTCACTAATCCCTGTTTGTTTGTTTTTTTTTTTCCCCTGCAGTGCCAGGATTTCCCTACCCTGCTGCCACCGCAGCCGCCGCGTACAGAGGTGCCCACCTACGAGGCCGGGGTCGCACGGTGTACAACACGTTCCGAGCAGCAGCTCCCCCTCCTCCCATCCCAGCCTACGGCGGGTAAGGAGCTCTGAAATTCCCTCACCTCTGGCTCAGCATGGATCCCGGGAGCCTGGGCGCCGTTCCCAGCCCTGCTGCATGCGGGTCGTGCCTGCCCGGCACCGGCGCCTCGCACAGCGGCTTGAAAAATGACTGTAATTTGTACTGCCATGCTTGGTGGCCTTAAGCATTTCAGATGTCACATATTGTTATGTAAATGCTCCCACAAACGGAAGGCTCTGGAACGGGGAGATTGTTTCGGCTAAAGGTATATTTTTGATGATTGCAAACATCTGGTTATTAAGGAGGTTGGATCGAGTTATCTTCTTTTTTTCTTCAAATCGCCTGCTGAAAGTTGTCTCTGCACCTGAAGGCTTAGTGCTGGATTTTTTTTTAATGTATATTTTTTTATTGCAGTTTGCTTAGTTTTTCTAGTTGCCATCTTTGCCATGATAGAAATCTGGGGTGCTCCTCTCAGGACCATGGGTTTTGTGTACTTTTGCTTAAATAATGCCTAAGATTTTGCTGTCAGTGACCTGCATTTACTAAAAGCAAGTAGTAAACTAAGGAACCAAGAAGAGGAATTCATAGTATTAATTTTTAGTAACTCTATAATCTTCTTTATTTCAGAAGATTTTTTGGGTTTTATGTATATTTTTGGGGGAAAGAAAGAATAAACATTTTTTCCTGTAGTTCTGCAAAGGCTGACATAGAAAGTCTTTGTATGCTGCATGTAACACAAAAACCCTAATAACATTAGCAAAAGATTTTTAGCTGTTTAGAAATTAGGAAATCTGTAAAATCAGAGAACTTAGCAGATCCTAGGCCAGAGTAGTACTTTGTCATAAAAACTGGATTTGCCATTATCTCTTTGTAGAGCTGTTGGATCTTCCTGGGATGGGGTCAGGTAGGGCTGGGACAGGCAGTGAGAGAAGGTGATATCTGTCTCTCTCTCTCTCTCTCTCTCTCTCTCACTCTCTCCCTACCCTCCCTGAAATCCTGTTCAGCAGCTCCTTGGCTCCCACTGGGGATGTCCCCTTGTGCAGGAGCTCCCTGTCCCCCTGCTCCATTCCAGTATGTGATGGGTGCCCTGCATCAGTCCCCACAGTTTCTCAGTAAACCTTGCTTCCATTTAAGCCAAAGGGAGCATATTTTTCTAGACAAGTTTGCTAATCTCATCAGTCAGCCTTTGGCCTGAGTTTTCAGGGATTTATTTATACAGGCAGTTTGACCATGCTGTCACATGGGGCAGTTATTATCTCAAAGAAATGAGACATTCTAAAAACTAATGTAAAAAACATGCCCCAGAATCAGGTTATTTTGTAAAAGTGTATTCTGTTGGTTTGTTTGAGTGTTTTGTGTAGTTTATTATGAAAACCAGTATTACCACTAGTGGAGGAAGACACTTTTCTGAAGTTTGCCTGAATTACCTTTGGGCAAGGATGGTGTCCCACTAAAGCTATCCTTCTGCTGCCATACTCTCAGTTAGTCAGTCCAGGCATTTGCACATGGCAAAGATGGAAACAGGTCCAGAATGCCCTGCATTCAGATTTCATTTAGAATTCCTCAGCTACCAAATGGATACTGCACCTAAAGAAAGTGGACTCTCCTTTTCTTCTTTGTTTAAAAACAAATTCTGAGATTTGAACCTAGACTGCAATATGTAGTGAGATAACAAGCTGGGCCACTCAGTTTCATGATGACATCACACATCACACTTTAGTTAAATACAAAGTCATAAAGGTATATACAAAAATAATTACCAGCTGTGTGTGATAGTTTTTGAATTGGACAGTACTTTTTGGTTTGTATTTGCAAAATGAGTAACTACTTTCTGCCAAGAAAGTAACTTAAATTTGCCTTAATTTAAGAGGCCACATGTGGGTGCTCTACATGTATATGTGTGTGGTGGTATGCACATTATTATCATTAGTTCAGTGACTCAGCAGCATGAATTCCATTTCCAGGAGTAGCACATGTACATTCTCATGTAACTGTACTGCTTGTTGCCAGCACCTTTAGCAGTAAGTTAGATGTGCAAGCACAGAGAGCTCCTGTTGTAGGTCAGTGCAGAGGTTCTGCAGGCAGGTCCAGCAGGGCTCCAGCGTTTCCAGGAGCCCAGCTCAGCACTCCCACTGCTCTGCAGGGTGGTTGGGCAGGCTGGCAGGAGCTCATTCCCTTCATGCTCGTGCCAAATGTGGCTTCAGAGGGAGCCCTGTGTTGCCACAGGTCCCATCATCTCGCTCTGATGGCTTCCAGGTGTCTGTCAGGAACCCTTGCTAATCTAGGGCTCACCTTGCCACCAAACATAATTTGACACTGCAAAAGGTTTCAGTTACTAAGCCCTGTCTTAAATCATGTAGGTCTTCGTTCAGATATTCAAGTTTCTCCATCCACCTGTGCTTTCCAATAAGGCCCTGCTTTGTGTAATTCATGGGTCAGTACAGAAATCATACAAATCTCTGTTGCCCTGATCCACTGCTGGGGTAATAAAGCTTTATTTTCCCATAATTTCTTTGGCCTGGCATATTGGATCTCATGTGGGTCTCTTCACTGATACAGGAGTCTAATGCAGAATTGCTGAGTGATTCTTTGCTCTCTGCTCACCTATTCTATCCCATAACCCATTAAAAAAGCAATAAGGAATTTCCATCAGAACAAAAAAAAAAATCTTTAATCAATGAAAATAAGTTATGGGAATGTGCTTGTTGGTCACAGCATGAAAAGAAGTCAAGGAAAATTATTAAGATACTAACAAGATCATAGGGAATGAATCAGCTTAGAGAAGGAAGGAAATAACTTGGAATATTATTAATAAGAAAAATTGAGTAAGTTTTGAATTTTTCAATCAATTTAGTAGCAATTTATTATTTTTCCCTCAAGGAAGGTGCCCAGCCTTACAGCCAAGTAAATAGTTTTATACCTAAGTATTTTCAGTCCTTAAAAAAATACACATTTTCTATAATGACATATATAATTTTAATAATAAATTTACATTAACATCCATCAGTTTTTAATTAGAAAATATTTCAAGAAAGAACCTACGTGTAGTTGCAAAATATAAAGCTGAACATTGCAATTACCTCCTTTAATTTTCTTTTATTTCATTAACCTTAGATTTTGATCTAGCTCTAGGTCCTGTGGCAGGATAAGTTATGGTGGTTCCTACTGAAAGAAGTCTTCTGCTGTGCCTTCCTCTTACTGGGGAGCAGCAGACAGGCTTTGCTGGGTCCCAGGGAGATTTCTGGGTATAACCATATTTAAGGCCATTATTTTCTTATAAATCAAAGGTTAGCACATGTGCTTTAAAATGTGCAATTAAAAATGGAATTACTGTTCATGAGATATCCCAGTAATCAATGGATCCTTCACTTTTGAGTGAGACATTTCACAATTTCTTGAGATAGCATCTTGTTTATTAGCTCACAGAAGGTGCTTCACTTTTAGCATCTGTGGCATCATCTCTAATGCCTTGAAATATGAGAATGTGCAGCTTACTTATAACTGCATATAATTAATGTACGTATCATAAACCCCCTTGACACTGAAATGGGGAATAAAGCTTGGTTTGGGTGAGAATACTGAACACTAAAATTTAGAGTTTGGAAATCTGCACGGCGTGGGGAGCTTAACCTCAAACTGGTGCAGCAGGAGAGGGAAATAAGAGATTTTCATTTGTTGTCAAGAAAACCCAGAGTCATGGTATACCTGGTAGTAGAGCAGTAGTAGATAGCAGGAGTAGTGAAACTGATGAGGAGCCTTTGTGCTTCATCATCCTTTGCTTTAAATTCTCACAAGTTTAGTGTGTGGTGACTTTGTCTTCACGTTCCCTCCCTGCTCCTTTCAGCTCTGATGAAGCTAACAGAGAATTAGCTTTCAGTCTGTATCTCCTCCTCTGCTGTGTTTCCTGGGAAAGCAGGGGAGAGCAATATGCTGTTTTCTCTTTGAAAAGAGCAGTTAAAAAAAAAATCAAAAAAACAAACCCAACCCTAAATAGAATTGTGAATTTGTGGGGAGTGTGGAGGAGAAATAACAGAGGCTATTCAGAAACTGTTCCTCTTGTTAAAATAAACCTCAAGTGCTACTTGCTCACTGGTTCAAAATGAAAATAAAGCTTCATTTTTTTATTCTGAATTCTAAATTTAAGAACATTAGTATGAGCTACTACATCTACTCAGGTTGTTACAGCTTTTTCCCACTCTATTTCCTTGGGCTCGTGTAAACTTCCTCTTACTTTGGACTCTGTATATGTGCAATTGTTGGAACAAAAAATGGCTTTTGCCAGCATATATTGATTCATGTCTGCAGCTTTGTTCTCTGCAGCAATGCCCTCAGTCAATATCACAGAGCAGAAAATGTAACTTGTCCATGGCAGAAACTGGAAAGGCAAGAAACTGGAATTAGAGAACATTCTAAAAAGATGAAACTGCCTCTTACAAGAGTTTCAGTTCAATGTTTAGAGCACTTAAAGCTGTGTTATTAGAGTGTGGAAAAGTCTTGCTTTAGTTCTGCCTTTGGTTTAAGTAAGGCTGGTTTATTAAACCAAAGGTCTTTGGTTTAAACAAGGCTGTATCTGCATCTCTTCTCTCATTTGTCTCAGGAAGGCCCCAGATAAAGGGCTCACATTAAAGGTGATTTCCAGACCAGGAGCTGGACAGTGTAGGGGACACTGAGGGTGACCCTCCCAGCAACCAGAAAACAGAGAATTGTTGTTCCCCAGCTGCTTTCTCGTAGCTGTGGGCATTGCTGTGCCCAGGAAGGAAATCAGGGATGTGCTGCCCCTTTGTTCCCCTGAATCCACCCCCAGGCTGGGTGTGCTGCCCTGGGCAGGACGGGTGGGCTGAGGACCATGGATCCTCAGCTGCCGGGAGGTTTCTCAGCCAAGCTTTGTGCAATCAGGGGCTGTCTTTTCATGTCATTGATAGATTATTCAGCTCAATCCTTTTGAAAGATGAGGACAGAAAAATGATAATGAAGACAGATGTAGTTCTCCCAGGATATTGTAAAGGTGGAATCTAAACTAGTAAAGAGTTTGTGTTAATATAGTTACAAAAAGTGATTATAAGGCAGGGAGAGCTCCTTAAATAAAGGAGTTCCTTAAATAAAGGAGCTAAACCCATGCCTGTCAGATGTATAATATCTGATGAGGAAAGAGTTCCCTATTTAGATAAAAAATAATTTCAGAAAATGATTGTCACATATGTTGATATTTAAATGCACATTTTCCTATTAAGATTTCTCACTTCTCTGAGTTTTCCTTAGCACAATAAAATAACAGAATACGACTGAACAAATCCCACACATTTGTTCTTTTTAACTCCTTCAGGAAGCACATTAGCACCATTCCTTGGGTGAATTAACTCAGATTTCAGTCATGTGGCTATTTAAAAACCCTGTATTGTTTTACAAGGAGCAATAGACTTACCTGCCTACCAGGATAATTTTTTTCAATGTAAAGTGTAAAAGGAGCTGTTGTAAGATGGGTCCCTGTGTGATGCCTTCAGTCTCTTCCCATGCTCAAGATGTCCCCTTTGTTTTCTGCCTAGAGCCTCAGAGAGAAAAACCGAGAAAATTAAACCAAATTAACAACAACAACAAAAAAAAAAAAAAAAAAACAAAACAAGAAACCAAAAAAAACCCCAAAACCCCCCTTGGAAATTTATATACTAAAGAAAAGAAAAGCAAAACTTAGTTTTTGGTGGTTTACACTTTGTACTTCTGATTAAGGGTGCTGTTAGAAAATACATTTGACTCTACTAATAAGATTTAATCAGGACAAGGGCTCTGAATAGAGGAAATATTCTCTGAAAAATCTATGGAAATGTGAATAATTACTTTTCCTCAAACTTCAGGAGAAGCAGAAGGATTTTTATTAAATATCACTGTCATAATGCAAGATCATAGAGAGGAAATAAGATAAAATCAGCTGATTTTTTTTTTTTTTAGTGAAAGTCCTGCTTGGGACTGTTATACTCATTTGCCTGATTCTGTCACTTCATCTTAATATTGGCCATGTCTAATGATGGAGTTATGCATATATGTCTCATTTTAGTGATGGATACATTTTTCAGCATAGTATTTATGAAGAGGTTTCATTTAGAAACCAGAATAAGTTTCTGTCTGTACATGACTGGAAGGAAGACTGGGGTGGATGAATGAACCTGTCCAAGATTACAACCAGCTGCACTTAGGAATGAAAAATTTATCAGCCCCTTTTCATCTTTGCTGTGTATCCACAGATCACCAGGAGGAGGAAGAAAAGAGTTTCCCTCTCTGACAGCTGCTTTCTCAGAAGCATTATTTTCTGAATAGCAATGTTTGATAGCAATGGAGAGTGGGATGTTGGAATGTGCAGTGATGGGCTGGCCTCAGCTGGCTGCCAGACCCTCCCCCAGCTGTGCTCTCCTTCCCCCTCTCAACAGCACAGGGGAGAAAGGATGGAAGGGGATAGAATACAAGAAAATAAAGACAGTGTAGAAAGTAATCTCACCCCTAAGGAGTTGCAGCTGGGCCAATTATCAAAGATCAGGAGCAGGCCTGACTTTAACAGGCCACAGGTGTAAGCAATGAGAAGAAGATGCTATAAAAGAGTGGGGGTGGCTGGGTGAGAAGGGAACTGGAGTCAGTGGCTGCTTTGTGAGGAGGAAAGAGTCAGTGCTGTGAGGAGCTGCCCACGAGAAACACCAGGAAGGTCTGGAACTTTTGTGATAAGGAGACAACAGTATGGGACCCCTGGAATAGGATGACAACAAAAGGAGGATGGAAAAGCTCCTGGCTTGAGATAGAGACCAGGGACATTTTGTGCCAATTGCTATCACAGGCAAAACAGACTTGACTTGAAAAATGAATTTATTTGCTATTGAAGCGCAGTTAGATGGTTAGAAACAGAGGTAGGACCTAAACCACCTTCCCCCAACTCGTCCCCCATCTCCAGCAGGAGTGGCACAGGGATGTGAGCACCCGAGGGCTGGGGCTGTGGGGTCACAGTGAACTCAGTAAACTCAATATTCTTTGTGTGTCATCTCATCCAAGTCCCTCATGCTGTCCATGATTGTGTGCTCCTGCCTCAGAGTCATGTGGAATGCTTTATTCCTTATGTGCAAACAGGTAAAGAAAAACATGGAGTGTTTTAAAATGATCAGAGTATGCAAACCAAATTGAAGGTGTGCTGCAGTGTAAGCAACAAACTCTCTGAAAGCTGCCAGTGTAGACCAGGTTTCACATATTTTGCTCTGAAGACACAATAAATAGAAAAATATATGAATAAAGGTCTGATCCAACTGAAACAAATGGCAGATGCTCTGATTTAAGTGGAGCTGAGTTTTCACCTGTTATTATTCCATAGCAAACTTTAATCATCAGTGTGGTTTTATCCATGTTGTTGTGTGCATGTATGCATATTTATCATTTTCTCAAGTGATTCAGACTTAGAGCCATACCAGCTCAGTCCTGTGGGGTTTGGTCATTGACCTCAATAGGTCAGTTATATTTCTGACATCAAAATTCTTGTTGGAATTGCAAAATGGCTTAGGCTAGCAACTTGGTAATAACTATTATTCCTAGATAATAGCACTCCTAAATTGAAAATATTGTTGCAAAAAGTCCCTATTGTTTTATTAGCTCACATATTTAGCCCTTGAAACAGCTTGGGTTGATTCTGATAGGGGAAATACACATTTCAGGTTGCAGAATTGCCAAATGGATGTAAAATTGCAGGAATGACCTAATGGCTGTAATTGTTAGGCCACTGTTGTGCAGTTGGAGTTTTATTTTGTGTAATCATTTAAGCTCTGTCATACTGTGTCATTTATCCTGGAGGGTTTAGAATCTTCCACTGTTTACTCTGATGATTGATCTTAGCTGAAATGAGTCCATCTCTGGGTGAGCTGGTAACAGCAATATTAGCACATTATTTTGAGAGAAGAAGTAGTCATGTATCCAACCAACCAAAACAGGGGAGCTCAGAACCACTGGCATGCTTGCCAAAGCTGTAAAATGCTCAAGTAGGCAAAGTTTTGTTTGGTTTTTTTTGTTTTTTTTTTTCCAAAAGCATAGCACCCTGAAATTTTCAATAGACCAGAGCTGTCATTATTGGTAATGTGCATTGAGCCAACCATGCAGCACCTGCGGGTTCTCTCACCTCTGTGTAGACTGGGTACTGAGATTTGACCCAGTGGGTAGAACACCACCAGTGCAATTATTTCACTAACTCCTCTCACCATTTCAACTGAGGCTGTGGTTTTTTTTGCCATCTAAGTAATGAGAAGCAACCCTTTATTTCAGAGGGTCAGCATACCTGCAGGATGAGAACACAGTGCTTCAAGAGTAAGGCTTTTGCAGAAGTATTGAAACTGGGCATGAGATTGGCTCACTGAAAATTTTTATACGAAAGAAAAAATGCTGTCAATATGTGGCTTTTTATAACTAAAAACAGGGGAAGAAAAAAGCCCCCAAACTTTATCAAAAGTCTTTTCCAATCCTGCCATGCTTTGCCTTCCTTTGACGAAGCATTTGGCATACTTGATAAGATGATGTATTTGGTACAGGTTCACTTCTGATAATTGCTACCAACCTCCTTAACCAATGTGAAGAGTGCCTTCCTTCCCCCTCCCCTCTGTTCTTGTGAGAGACTAACCTCAGCTGTGCAGGGGTTGGTGGCATTTGCATGTGGAAATGCACTAATATGGATGTTTTTCTTTGTGTGTGCATCCTTGCAGTGTTGTATACCAGGATGGATTTTATGGTGCAGACATTTATGTAAGTATTCATTGATGTGCATGCTGTCCTTGTACATTACCAGAGTCATTCTTTTTACAAGTTTGCTGCCTAGCTTGACTCTGTTTTGTCTATTTACCATCCCTTGCCTGTCAGAAAGAATTGAGAAGAATATCTCTCACATTGGAAGACCTTTCTGTTCATTACATCTATCATTGTTCAGTGGAGCTGAATTAACTCTTCAATCAAATGCTGAATGAATGCAAAAAGATGTGAAAAATGTGTGTGTGTGTGGAGGGGCGTCTCCCTTCGTAATTGAAGTTCAAAGAAAAAAGAAAGCAAAGCACAAACATTTTTTTGCAAATGCCCAAAAGCTCTTTTTAAAAAATCAAGGCAAGCTGAGTATTACTAATACTTGAAATATGAAAGTACTTCATGGAGAGATACAGGTTTCCCAAATCCAGCCAGCAGTGGGGATGTGTAGGTGCCATGGTGATAGTGGAGATAATGGCATATAAGTTTAAGATATGGCAATATATTGTCTGTAATCTGAGTAGACTGCCAGAAATTGCACTTCTAGAATCCACTCATTTCAGTTTAAAGGAGATGGGCAGAGACTGCTCACAATATGGGTGGGTCATTTGTTAGGAAAGATTCATAGTCCTGGATCCATCATTATCTATGCACCTAATTGTTCACCTATTTCATCTTAAATGATATGTTTATTTTTAGTTTTGCTGTTTTTTTCAAGTTTTTTACATTTATACATTGTTTTTTCTTGCCAACTTTTTATCTTGAATGTGTGTGAAGTCTCCATATGTCTGAGTATGCAAGAGGTTTCAGGGGGTTGAGGCCAAATTTTACTCTTCCAAAATTCTTATACCTGATATGTAGGTGTAAAATATTTCGCTGATAGTAAGCAATATTTACTTTTGTTATTCTTTTAATAAGGCAGTCTGGTTCTAAGTTACAGGTATCATCTTTGTTTCACCAGACAACTTTCTGGAACCTACTTGTACTTTTTCAGTTGAGATAAAATGAGACTGATGAGTTGCAATTTGTATCAATATTAAAAATTAAATAGGCAGTGCTAGGAAACATCCCTTGTGTTCATTATCAGCAATCTCCTAGAACTATTCCCAAGGGAACAGATTTTTGTCAGTAAGTTTTATATAAAGATGGAAAACAATTTGAATTTATGGATGAAGTAGGTTTTGTTTTTCTGACGGAGGTGGAAAGGCTGATCCTTATCTGAAAATTCATTTGTGCAGCCTAAAAACATATTTAAAATAAATCAGCGAGGGTTCAAGTCCTCTCCTTATGTGCTTATGTAGTCAGTGATGTTATCAGTAAGATATCGTTTACAACACAAGAATCACCCCTGGCTGAAGGTTTGCTCACGCCAAGTGAGTGCCTCTGATCTCACCCAAACACGCTGCTGCCCAATTTCTGAGCTGCACTGGACACACATTGAAGTGTGGAATTTCCTCAAGTGTGGTTTCCAATTTTCACGTTCCGTCAAACCATCGAGAGTTTGCCATCAATTTTGCTCCGTTTACCAAGCCAGAAATCTGCAGGGCCACAAGACATCCTTTCAGGAGGGCTTGGGATGGGAGGATAGGTGGGAGCTACATGTTCCTGGAGCAGTTTGTAGGTGTGGAACCCACTGCTGCTGAAAGCCAGGAATCCCTCATTGGTGATTGACAATATTATTTTTAAGTGGCCTCACACCCTCTCACAGACCTCAATGTTTTGTTTCCAAATGGAGAGTGGTTTCAATGAGAAAGATACTGAATAAATTACTAATTTCTAGTATAGCCACAGTTTTGTTGCCTGCAATAGTTGTGTGCATTAGGAAAAGGAATAACTACACTGGTTTTCACTCAGCTGCAGCCTTGCATTTCTGATTGCATATCTTAGTTCTGTTAATGCAACAGAATGTTTCTCTTTATAGCAGATGACAGAATTAAAACATTCTTCTGGAAATTTAGTTTCTTTTTAATATACAAGTCCTTTTTATTTTATAAATATTTTTTCTTCACATTTGTGCCTTCTTGCATAAAAAGCATTTGAGGGGAGGGAGAGAGAGATAGAAAAAGAATTGGCATAAATCAAATGAAACCTTAAAATTCACAGTGTATTAGTTCTTAGTGCAGCAGTTTGCAGCAGACCAAGTTATTTATTAAATCCCAATTGTTTATGACATAGCTCCACTCAGCTTTTCATTTTAAGTGCAAAGCTGAAGCTTTGTGAAATGACAAATGCTCTGTGAAAAAAAGGAGAAAAAAACATTTAAACAATGTAGGGTTTAATGGTAGATTGGAGGGGAAGGAGCCTTAGAAATACCACAGAAAGCAAAACAAGAGGCACACAATAGTGAAAAGCCAGATCAAAAATATGCATTAATGGGTACATCAGAGTGGGTTTCATCCTGCTCTGATCACACTGGGAAGCAATTGATGGGCTCTGCTGTTCTGTGCAGAACTTGGGATCCACAGAGCCTCTGGTGAGAGAAACCACAGGTTTAGGGGAAGGGAGGGGAGACACTAAAAGATACTGGATGGGTAAAAACTGCAGGGTGAACCAAGAACAGCAAATATCCAGAGCTGCTCCAGTGGAACAGAAGAGATTAGGAATATAAAAATAGGCAGGAAGTACAGTCTAAAGTGAAAAATCAACAGCTATGATTCTAGATGTAATATAATATATTCTATATTTAATATGATTCCATATGGAATGTAATAATCCTTCTGAAATAGCTGAGCTATTGAATTCCCTTTTAAATGTGCCTTTCAGTAGGAAAAATAAAGGAGATTATTAGGAAGTAAGGAAGACCTTTTAAAATTAAGTATTGATTCACTAAGAGAAAAAGTCATTAAAAGAGAATTAAAGTTGCCTGCCAGCAAATATAGAAGTTCTTAGATGAAGATTGACACCTGTGAAAATAAGAAAATACACTCCACAAAATGAAGCAAAAAATAGTAACAGTCTCAGAAATAGGCAGTTAGAATAATAGCTCTGCTTTATCTTAAATCTGTTCCTTTTTTTTTTATTACCATTGTCATAAAGAATGTTTTCAGAATATGTCAGTCATCAATCCACACCTAAAATGTGGGAAGGCTCAGAAAATGAGGACCTTCCCCACCCTGTCAGCACCAGCTCCAGCAGCCCCAGTAATGGTTTAACCATGGCCATTGGTTTAACCATTGGTTTAACCATGGCCCCACTAATGGTTTAACCATGTCAGCCTTACTGCTCACAGCAAGGTTTTCTAAATCCAGGATTCTGCACCTGTGATACTGCAGCTGGAGAGAATCCATGGTGAAATATACATGTATAGGTTTTAATTTTTAATTTTTTTTAATTTTCTTTTGAGCTGCTGGACAAGAATAAGGCAGATTTTTATAGTCAGGGTATGGAATGAGACTATTTCCTAATAGCTATTGCCATCACCTTAGCTCAAAGCCAGAATGCAGTTGGGGATGGAAGGTTTATTTATTTGCTAAGGAAAAAGCAGAGGTAATGATCTAACCAGCATTCCCCTGAGCCCAGGTGGAGTCCCTGGAAGCCATCTGGTCTTGGGGTGAAAAACAAGGATTTGCAGATAGCACTGAAGGTTTTCTTTCAAGAGCCAAGGATTTTTTGTGTTTGCCAGTGGAAGGGTGTGCCATTGCATGCCCTGTGACTCACAGAAGCAGAGCAAGAAGAGGAGAAGTTACTTTGCCAAGGGCAAAAGGGTCCCCAGGGAGCAGTGGGTTGTCCTTTGCACTGCTCTGTGTGCTGGAACACCCCATGATGCCTTTTTCAAAGTTTGGCTAGGTCGGGATGAAATGTCTTTTAATCTCATCTTTATTGGTGAGGTTAAAAGTACATTCACCAAGGTACCAGAGCAATGCTGGTGATTTATTTGGCTGGGATTAGTGCAGGTGGTGCCTGGATATTTTGCCAAGAGTTTTTCTGAGGCAGCAGCTGCCTCTGGGAACACAAATATATAGAAATACCCCAAACCTTGCACACAGGTCAGGTCCACAGTTTGAGCCAGCGCAAATTGGAGGTGGATTATTTATTTTTAATTCTCCCAGTCGCAGTTGTACTCAGTGGGCAGAACAGACACTGTTTAAATCTCAATTGCATGTGAGTGGAGGAAAATGAACTGACAATTTCTATATTCTGCAGCTCTGAGTTTAATTCACGTAATTTTTAATACCATTCTTCTATTTGTAGTTAATAAGGCAGGTCTAAGTCTCAATATTAGAGAAGGTTGGGAACCTTGATTAATTTATGGTCACAAAATACTGAGAGAGATCCATGAGTGAAAGGAAGTATAGGAAGTATAAATTGAGGAAAATTAACTCTCAACGTTCATATGAAATATTAAATATGTAGATAATAGGAAAAAAATACTCATCATTTAGAGTCACTCTGTGGTTCATTATATCTGAGATCATGAGAAGAAAGTGATTTGGCTATTTTTTGAGGAGGTGCACACATGTATATGTGGTTTTGTAATTTCTAGATTCTGTCTGGGTAAGCTTTTGTGGAAATTAGCCTTACTGCAGATATACACACTTTATTTGAATATTCCATTGTATTCAGTTTTCTGTTCATTTCCATTTTATCATATCTTACTCAAAATGGGTGTAATTTCCTTCTAAAATTTATTGAGTTTTCCCTATAAAAATCACCAACTGATCTCTGACAGATCCCACTGCCCTTCCTCTGTTTGCTTGAGCTGGAGATGTACAAAACATTGAGAGGGAAATTCTCATGAATTGCTCTGAGGAATTTGCTTAAATTCCTTCCTTACACCCATCTTTCCATCCTTCCTTCCTCATTGAAATCATTCCATTTCTGTTCCTTTTTAGAGCAGTGTTGCAGAGCCTGTGAGTGGCAATAAGTTACCACAGCTCTGGGGTAACTTTCCACTGATGGCAAAACCTCACCATGCTGGATGTAGGCTCATGTCAAATCATACTGATACTCAAATAAATGTGTGAGAAAATGGCAAAAGTAGTCCACCAGCTGCATTTTATTTTCCAGATTCAGTCACAAAGTCATGGATAGTGATAGTATTGTTAATTTTTAAAACTACTTAAGCTGCTGTAACACTGTTTTATCATTGTTCTGCAAGTAGCAAATATGGGGGCACAGATAAGGCAGTAAACATTTTTTTCGTTATGGTATCTGAATTTATTATTTTCAAAATAATTATCCAAAGTCAGGTAGTTTCTGCCTGGATATAAATATAAGAGGAAAAAAAGAATTCCTAAAACATTTCTAATACTTAGGAACTGTAAATTGTTAATTTTAAAAATGTAATATTACATAATTTTTTTCTGAGTATTTTATTTTGCAATATAGTCTAAGGCATGAGGATAATTATTATAATGTTACTCAAGAGATGTAGTGAAGATTACTGGTGTATTCTCCACCTAAAGTATCAGCCAAGTTCAAAATTAGAGAATAATTGTGAAATAGATCTTGTTACAGAAGTTGAGTTCAGGGGTTTGAACTAGAATCCCACCCCAATTTCCAGTGTAAAGTGTGCCTCCAAGTGTTTTCTTCCTTCAGTAATCAAAAATCACCTGAAGTAATTGAAGTAAAACAATGAGAAAACTTGGTACAACACCAAAACTGCAGAACGCAAGCCCCAAAAAATAATTTGCTTAAGCATATTTTAATGTGTAATTTATGAGAATTTATTTTAAAATTATGAATTCATGACATGGGATAGTAGGGAATTAGGTTTTCCCTGATACCCAAATACATCCTGCTTTTTTTAGTTCTCCAGAGAATGCAGGCAAATTCAATGCCTTCAATCTCTTTTTATTTGTATTGCTTCACACTCATTCTTGCCAGGGCTCTCATAAATGCCAGACTGATTGCTGAATCCAAAACATCTTAATAAAGTTCACAGTCGAGCTTCATTGTTCAGCAGAAATTCTTTGAAAGCAAATCAAAATGTAAGCATAAAAGGAATGTAGCTCTTGTGTTTAGGGAGCAAGAAAGGGTCTCTGATCACACTCTGACCAATTTTGGGTGATAGTTAAAGGAAGGAAAGGAAACCAGTCCTCACAGAGCCCACCAGATGTCAGAGCAGCTGCTGTAGGAGCAGCCTGTCTCATTTTTCTCCCATTCAGAGCTGGTCATGGTGGCCTGTTCTCAATTCCATGCTGTGGTAGGAGCTGGTGTGTTTGGAGCTGGATTCTCAATAATGCTCATGGTTCTCAATTCCATGCTGTGGTAGGAGCTGGTGTGTGTGTGGAGCTGGATTCTCAATATTGCCCATGGTTCTCAATTCCATGCTGTGGTGGGAGCTGGTGTGTGTGTGGAGCTGGATTCTCAATATTGCTCATGGTTCTCAATTCCATGCTGTGGTAGGGGCTGGTGTGTGTGGAGCTGGATTCTCCATGCTCATGGTTCTCAATTCCATGCTGTGGTAGGGGCTGGTGTGTGTGGAGCTTGATTCTCAATATTGCTCGTGGTTCTCAATTCCATGCTGTGGTAGGAGCTGGATTCTCAATATTGCTCATGGTTCTCAATTCCATGCTGTGGTGGGAGCTGGTGTGTGTGGAGCTGGATTCACTTGGAGTGGCTCTCACTTTTGAACCAGGGGTTTTAGGAGTGGAAAGCAGGACAAAGAAAGAGTTGGACACCCTGGTGAACAGATCCATGTCAGACTTCAGATCTGCCAAACAATGCTAGACTGGATCAGGAAAACAAGTTCAGTATCTTCCTCATATCAGCACTCAGGGAATAAAAGGGGAAAAAAAAGAAGGGGAGGGGAAAGGTGTCATGTTCCACAGAATCACCAGGTTGGAAGAGACCTTCAAGACTGAGTCCAATGCAACCCCAACACCCCAACTGAACCCTGGCACCCAGTGCCACTTGCAGGCTTTTTATAAACACATCCAGGGATGGTGACTCCACCACCTCCCTGAGTAGGCCATCCCAATATTTAGCCCTCAAAAACCAGGAGGGGAGAACAGGTAAATTTGTAGCATCTCTCACCTGTCTCACTTTGACAGAGGCCAGCCCAAGTGTGCAGTTTGAATTTCTCTCCTCTCAGGCTCAGTTTGTAGCTGGTGACATTATCTGATATCCAAAGGCCTGTGTGTACATAGCTGCAGCAGTGTGTGCCTGTTGTACATTTTGGACAGTGATAGCCTTCTGCTGGGTTATAAAAATGAAATTATCTGAATTGGGGAGGTGTTTTTGTCTCACTGCCTCTGTGTGTGCCCAGAGGAGCACAGGAAAGCACGAGGGGGTGTAGGAGATGCTCATTCCTGCCTGATCCCAGGGCTTGTGTGTCACAATTGCTGCTGGCAGGGAGCTGGACAGGAGCAGGGAGGGACACGTCCTGTTGTCTGTATGAGCACTTGAAAAGAAAAGAAATCAGAAAGAATAATCATCAAATAAGCTGACAATTCAAAGCCTGGAGTTTCTAATGAGCTGTCAGTGTATGTAAAACTCGTGTTTATTCTTAGGGTGATGTGGCATTGTCAGCTGAACGATTGATTTCCAAACCCAACCTGCTTCAAACGTTCAAACCCACTAAAGGTTTACATGTGTTAGGGATGAAAGCCATTCTGCCAAGCCGAGTGGGAGAAGGGGAAGTAGCTTGTAAAAGTAGTCCAGATTGCTTTGCTGAAAAGAGCAAATTTTTATTTGCAAAATCAAACTAGAAAACCCACAAAAGTTATTGCAGTAAAAGTGTTCTACTGTTACAGTAAAGGCTGGCACATCGTGGCCTATTCTTCCTGCCTCAGCACAATATCTGGGGTGAATGCAGCCTTCCAAAAAAAAAAAAAACAAGAAAGGAAAGAACCAATCCATTAAAGCAAACACTTGAGCAAGAGTGAATTTTATTCAAAGCTGAGTGAGCTGATACTGTCTTATTCAGCTCTGTGTTAGGGAGGGGTTGGGTGGGGAAGGCACCACAGCAGCCCCTGTCCCAGAGGGTGCTGGGGGGAGAATTCTAATTGGGACGTAAATCGTGTTTGTGTTATCAGCAGGGCTGGGCTGGGGCTGTTAATTGGCATGCTGAGATCATTTGGAAATGGTTGATATAACACTGTGGTCCATTGAACAGGAAGCTCTGCTGTTTTCACAGTTTGATAATCAATGCATCACTGCACTCAATTCCTTTCCAATGTGTGTTTGTTTGTCCTGTTTGCTTAATTGAACAGCTGGAATTACTGTTACATACAACTGAATGTTAATTCATGGAAGAGAATTTTGCTTCTTCATTATAATTTTATGTTTAAATTGGAAACCTATGTAACATTAAGTGTTAATTGAGTGCACAAATTCATAGGTTTAATCAACCAGGCATGATAAATCATATTTTGTACAAAAAAAGAATTGATTATTAGCTGAGTTTGTCTTTTAAGTTTAGCACTGCTTTTTGAATATACATACACTTTGTTCATACGAACAATTGCTGCTTAAAAACTTGGAGAAGAATCCAGTAATGACTTATAAAAAAAGCTTTCACTGATCAATAGAGTTCATTGCTTTCTCCTGATCTCTGGGACAAACCTTAAAAAAAATTTGTGGTGCTCCATTTTGCTTCACGATTCACCGAAATATCTTCCTTACCATTTCACTGCAGTATTTCCTATGCATTTAACTGAACTGCAGCATGACTGTACTCTTTCCATCATTGTCAAATGTTGCAAAATGTGCTGGAAGGTGCCATGGCAATGCAGTTAGAGCGTGAGTTTGTGTTTCAGGGTGGTTATGCTGCCTACCGGTATGCCCAGCCTGCCACTGCCACTGCAGCTGCCTACAGTGACAGGTAAGAGCTCCTTTCCTGCTCACAAATACTGGACCAGTGGAAGTTGAAGTTGATTCTATAAATTTGCCTTGTTGAAGTCTCATAACTGTCTTGTTGCTCTGCAGATAATTGTGATCTCTAAAGCAGGCTGTTTTATTATAATCCATGAATAGCCATAAATTGAGAGACTTTAGGCCTTAATTGAGAATCAGGCATGAGATGTGCACATTCCCAAGCTGTAGATCATCCAGTTAACGTCTGTGACCCTTGTACAATGCAGATAAATAAATGTACAGATTCATGATGGTCTGCTACTAAGGATCATTATTTGTCTTAGGAGTATTATTTCAGTTGATTTAGAACCTTGAACCCATTGAGTGCCCTCCATTTTCATTGACATTGTTTTTGTCAGTGGAAATTGAGAATGAACTGTGTCTAAGCTTGAACTATCCAATGCAAAATAGCAATTTTTTTCCATTTGCTTTTTTCCCAGGCATTTGATTTTTTTCAATACTTGAAAAAAAAATTCTTTTGCTTTGTATTTTTATTCTCAAAATGTAAACCACATTTGGTGGAAACAATATCAGGAATGAAAGATCATTAAAATCTGCACATTCAAAGACTTAATTTTTATCAACTAAGAGTGATGTCACATATATTAGTGTGTGTTCTTGAAAGATGGATGCTGGAATCCCTTAGAAGTCAATGTCTCAGTTGCTGTTGACTTCAGTAGGAACAGAATTTTCTCAAATTGCATAAAATTAAGTCTTTGCAGTGTGTGGACATGATTTTGTAATGAGAAGGAGGATTAGCCCACATTTTCCTCATAAATTGTGCCCTTAAAATCTGTTCTATCTTTAATAACATTTTTCCAGTCCTAGAGGAGTGTTCCCTTGTAAAGGGAAGGTGTATTTGGTGGCAGAGACACACAAATAATTTACTTCATGATGGCAGTGAGAAGTAAGGTCACACTTCTCAATTCCTGATACAAGAAAATTTTCCCTTTGAATCATGGAAATAATTTCTTAAGCCTTAAATACATATTGAAAAAAATTCTTTAAATGCTAAATTAGACAGTGTTACAAATGCTTCTGTTTCTTAAAGAAATCAAGAGATTAAGAAATTCTAGTGCACAATTTCTTAGATTGAAGCGCTGTTCATGGATTCTGTATTTTTAGAACCAAGTCCCATGGTATGAATGTTACAATGCTCTGCATGCATATTTGCCTTTCAAGTGCTTATTCTGGGTAATGAAGATATATTTTTTTAAAGTTATGTGAATAAAGTAATTTGCATGTATGGCTGAGGCATGCTGTGTCAGACAGGTAAGCAAGCTACTTTTTATTGATTTTGGGTCAGTGATATCAACTAGATCTGTGCTGTGTGCACTTTGTTGGCAATGTTCTATTTCTACTTAGGGGAACCTGCACAGGTGAAGTGCTCCTCAGTAGTTTCATTTCATTTCCACAAAGGTTTGTCAGCATGTCACAGCTCTAGGGTTTTTATGTGAGCTTTTCTGTAATGCAAAACAACTCCTGCTTCTAAAAGCCTACTAAACACAAAGGACCAAATTCCAAATAACCTCCTGTGGTGAGCCAGGTTTTGCCAGCTATCTCTCAGGTGTCCCTGGATCATTTTATAGGCTGTTTATTTCTATTAATTAAACCTATGCATTACACAGAGAAACTGAACAATATCAAGCTGAATTTTAAATGCTTTAATTATGGATTGATGTTACCTTCTCATAAACCAGATCAAAGGCTGTAAGATAAAACATCAGCTGGTCACATGTTCTGCTATGGGCAGAGAGTCAACACCACAAAGAGTTATGCTGCCAAAAAGGTAAAGGATTTGTTTAGGAAGATAGTGTTCTTAAATGCTGTAAAGAAAGCTGGAGATGGCTTCAGTAGTAACGCAGTTGTTACAATCCTTAATTAATTTTTTGAAAAAAATTGTCTAATTTTCAGATACACTTTGTGTATAATTAGAATTGCAATGACCTGTCTTTGCTTGCATAACTTTAGATATCTTAAATGAATTTTATATCTTTTGGATTTTTTTAAATTTACTTTTCTTTTTAAATGCGGTTAACCCTCATCTTCAATCTGCTTCCCCCACATGAATATGGTTTCTTGTCTTAATTACAAATCTCATAACTGAATTTCTTTATGAGAGAATCCCAAAACTAGCATTGAGAACAAAACAAATAACAATCTGCTCAAATATTTCTTTGCACGTGGGAAACTATGTGCAAACATGGATACCTCTGATTATTCACAACTACAGTTTGTTTAATTTGATTACCTTTTTGTTCATTTTAAAATTAATTTAATTTAGCTACTTTTGTGAAATTATTAATGTTGAAGGTGCTGAAGTATACTTCAGTACCACTGCTTGTATCTGCTCTTCTCAATGTAATTATCATCTGCTCTCCTCTCACAACACTGAAGATTCCACATCTCCTTACACACTTAGTGTTCATATGAGCCCCTATTTAATTTAATTACACATGAACTGCACTTACTGCTTGTATAAAAAATGATGCCCAAAGAAATTGAGTACCACTGAAGCAGTGACATATAATGGAAATACTACTTCATACTAATTTTAAAAATAAGGAAAGCTTTGGTTTTTTTGGTCACCACTCATATCCATTATAAATTGCAATGTTCCATATTTGAAAGGCTTCTTAATTCAGGAGATGGAAAGAGGAAATCTTTAGATTGGAGACATGTTTTGGTAAATTAAAAATAAAGGTTAACAGAAAGATTTGGGACTGCAGAATCAATAGACCAAGTCAATTGATAATGATCAGTGTGAGAGGGCTCTATTTGAAGAAATGCAATGGTATCCTTGTTTGTCACAGTTGGAAATGCTGCTGGAAATAGGCAAGGAACAGATATACAGGGGAGATTCAGGTGGCAAGGAAATAGCATTAAACCAATCCATGAAAACCCCTAAGTATTTATTGAGACAGATCATGTACTCCTAAACCCAATTTCACAACAGGGGTAGGTCTGGCAGATCTCTCCAGTCATTTTTTAGGATCACAAAACAAAAACCACCAAGAAACAGGTACACTTTGTTTTATTTATGAAGCAATACAATCACTGGATACAAATTCTGAATTCAATTTTTATATTGTGTGATCTATCATATATTAAATTGCATGTACAGATATGAAGGTCTTTGCAGAAGTGGATCCAAAAAATTATGTTTAACTTGCCAAGAGTTAAAATATTTCTGATAAGTTTTCCAATTAGTGTAAGTCCTAAAAGGGGACCTATTGGTCTAAATATATTTATCAGTCTGGAACTTGCCTGGCAAACTCTCTAAACTGAGCATATTTGGAAAAAAATAATTGTAAGGATGTGCAAAAGACACTAAATCAGATGTCAATAAAATGTTTGTACAGCTCTTACTCATCTCTCATGGAATATTAAAAAAAAAAAAAATAAAAAATAGTTGTTAGATTTCTGTCCAAGTCTGAAGTAAGAGAAACTAGCAAGGCCATCCAGTTTTGTGTTCCTGAGGTAGAAGGAGTCGGAGCATGGCAGTGGGGCGTATTGTCATTTTGTCATTGCATGTTCACTTGGTGTTGCTGGTATGTCTGTAATGCTGTACTGGATTTGACAGATCCATCACATAGCTCAGTGAATGGCTTGCTTGAATTAAGCCTATGGGCAGATTTATTCACCTTGATTGGCTATTGGTTTTGTGTTTTATGATTTGGTTCTTGCACCTCCGATGGGAGTGAGGGATTGTTCCTTTTTTGGCGCGTCCGAACGTTGGCAGCGGTGTTTGTGCAAAACGTGTCTGGGAGTGCAGGGAGCAGAGGCCTGGCTGAGAGGCAGAGCCCCAGGCTGTGCTGTCCCCGTGCAGGGCCAGCTGTGTTTATACATGGATGGTGCTGTATCCATGTATACACACATGTTCCCATCCATCACACACACACACACACACACACACACACACAGAGGATGCTGCTCTGAGCACCATCCCCTTCTGCAACACCCAATTTCAACCTCGCTCCAGACTATGGGGACATTCCCACTGACCTCTCTGTTGTCTGGATTAATTCCCTCATCACTGGAAGCTGACTTTTTTTTTGCTTTTTTTTTTAAATAAAATAAGGCATATTCAAAAATAGTTTGCACGTAACACTTTCTAGTAAAAAATATGGTTTGTTTTGTTTTGTTGTTTTTTTTTTCCTCCCATTATCAATTTGTGTTATATGTTCTGTGGTTATACATAGGGTTTTGTGAAATTTGAGAGAGAAGGTTTTGTCATACAGAAGTTATGTATCTTCCAGATCTTAAAATCTTACTCCTGATAAAATCCTAATATTCTAACAGTTTAGATTTTTAACAAGTCTTTGTGAAGTATTCAGTTTTTTTAAAGCAGTAGTGTCTGCAGAAATACTTTAATATATTTTCCAGTTGTCTTTGGGCAAGTAGCTGAGAGTAATACTTGATATTTGTGCTCAAATTATCCTAAAATAGAATAGGTACAGGTTTGATTTAATAGTAAACATGCTCATTAAAGAATGACAATTTAGGATGAAGAGTAAAAAACCACAAAATATAAATTGTGAGCTTCTTTAGCTGAGGGGAGTTTTTATTATGTTGTGGACTATATAATCTTGTATTTTATGATTAAACAATGAAAAACCACTATATTTTTATTCAAATTATTTTCTCTTGTTGAAGATTACTAGAGATATATAGTAAAAATTAAGGTTTTGATTGCATATAAAATATAATAGCATCTTGAGCTAGAATTTAATTTTCCATTAAATAATTTTACAGAAGCATAAATGTTTTAAAATCTAGTACCTCATTCATTTCATGATTGTGCCTTCTTAGATTAAGGACAAAGAGCTTCTCTACACAGTTTCAGTTTCTAAAGGAATCAGGTTGAAAGATGAAAAAAAATTAGAATATAGAATATAGTGGTAACTTTTCAACTTCCAGCTGGAACCTTCCAGCATTTGTGTATTTTGCTATCCCAGTGGAATCCTA